TGTCATTTAAGATCCTGCCTCTTCACAAGGAAATGAAAAGGAGGATAGGTCATTATCTGAATTCTGCCTCAGAGCCAAACTTTTGTGTCACTTCTATTAAAGTTATTGGAGCAAACACAGCCAGTCCAAACAAAACGTGGTTTAATCTTTGGATAAAAAAGTCTCTTACATTATAAAATAACAACATAGTTCAACACATCAGTCAAACTGGTTATTGGCATTTTGAAGAAATCGGCATCACATGTGTTTCACATTTAGACCACATGGCTGATGCCACCTTCATATTCTATAATGTTAATGTTTTATTATTCATCCTAAATGACAGTATGGATTTAAAACAGCTATTGGCCAGTGTTTGATATGAATTAAACTCTAGCTTATGCTTTAGATTTCAGACCATTATGATATTTATGACAAAAGTAATATCAAACTGCATCATTCTTTAGTGCTAAAGTATTTGTCTACATTTATTGAAAGGACAGTTCAATCAAAGGGCTGTGGCTCAGTGTCAGAGTCAGTTGCCTCCTGATTAGAAGGTAGGGGGTTCAGTTCCAGAACTAGCCGTCCACATGCCCAAGTGTCTCCTGGCAATACCCAACAGGTGGGGTCAACTTGGGTACACTAATGTCAGCATCAGAGTACACTCTGATACTTTGATAACAGAAAGCTCAGTTGTTTTTCACACCAGTTTTAATGCTCTCTTCATGGTTTTTCTCATGTCTTCTCTGTAAAATCCCAAAGCTAAATTTTTGTCTCTAAACAGCTGGTCAGTGCACTACAGGCAGAGATGCTATCAGTACACTGTCCAACGTTGCTAGCATGTTTCTGTGCAACTCCCATTTTGGACTTTTTCTAGAGTTTGCCATTCATCTTGGTCATTAGGTTAAACCTGGTAATGATTCACTTGTAGAGTTCAAATTCATCCAATGGCACAGTATGTGTCAGGATAATTAATATTGATGTGATGTGTTTTGCTTTTTGATCTTGAGCGATGAATTAGGTAATTAACTTCATTTACAACACAATTAAAGTGCCATCATTTCTATATTAATACGGTTGCTTTTTAGCCTGGCAATACCAGACAAATAATCAAGCTCTCAGTCTGTGAGTAATCATTATTGTATGTCTATCCCAATGGCCCCGCAGAGGAATTTTATAACAAGTTTATGAAAAATCAAATTAATGATATTCTGTCAGGCTGGGCTGGGTAACCTCTCCAAAGACTGCTTCTTTTACTTTAATATTGTTGGCAGATTATTAGCATCACATGATGGCCAACACTTTCATTTGTATCAAGCATTGCCTTATTAACCATTAACCTGCCTATTTAATGTTGACACTACTAACACATCTTTTTCTTTTTTAAACCTCCCAATGTTGTCACTTTAATAGGCTCGGTAATTAGCTGCTGGGAGTTGCTTGACCTGTGTCAAGTCACTTGGAAATCCTCCGAAAAAAGCAGGATTAGTAGCTCTGAGGATGGTAACATGGGCTAATATCTTCGCATTTGGTGGATTACATTTTCTTTTTACACAGACATGGTCCCGAGAGAATGGATCCCATAAGTTTTTATTGTCATCTGATTGTCCCATCATTGAGTTGATTTTTGTTTTAATGGGGTTCAAGGAAAATTACCCAGCATTTATGAATTGTTTTCTAAATATTGATGCTGCCTAGCAGAAGCATTTGCCTGGAGGCACTGCTCTGCCAAAGTGCAGCCTCTTGTTGCTGTAGGCCCTTACTGCTTATTAAATATGCTGCTTTGAGCATTAATAATGTTCATAAGTTGCTTGTTTTTTTCCTCCCTGAGGACAGATATCTATGCCAACAAAAGCTCTGTGGTTTTAAAGGTTAATACAATTAAAATTAGCAAGTCTGTTAATAAAAGAAGAGGAAAAAAAACTTTGTAGTCATGTCGACCTTTAGATTGATCCAAAGAAAGCAGGACATTACACATTCAGAAAATGATGATTCAAAGGTGTGTTGAGCAATCAAAAGATGGGGATATCAGGGAAGTCAAGCCAGGAGAAAGTCGCCTTTTGAATCACTCAACAGCAGTTTGTCAGGCTTATTTACCGATCTATGGGAAGGAACTTGTCAGGGTTGATGGATTATTACAATTACTAAATCTATCAGAGTGGAGTTTGGACTAAGTCTCCCACTTTAACTGAGTTTGTTTATATTTGAGACAAGCTTTATAATAAACCGATGCATCAAAAGTTGCTTTAGTGCTCAGATGCTCCGACTGTCACAGCCTACTCATTCATTCCCGATGCTTTCAGCCCTCAAGAAGTTACATCCTGATTTATAGTGATTTGTTTGTTTTTGGTTCTTAGAAGTTGAGTGATTCAGAGGCTTTATTTTTCTGTGTAGCTTCATAAATAAAGTGCTGCTCCATTTTGCGCCTTTTGTTTGTTTTGTAGATCAAAATCAAGGTTCAAGATGTTAAGCCTGTCCTTCTGTGTCTGACTTTTATGGCTGCAGCTTTGACATCCCTGGTATTGTGTATTTTCTTTGACGTCTCCACACGAAGCTGCTGCTCTCCCAGAGTGTTCAGACAGTGACATTGTCAGAGATCTCCAGGGATCTTACCAGATTAGCATCATGACCTCTCATGTGTCTTTGATTCCTTCTTTCCTCTTCTCGCCTTTCCTTCCTCCTCGCAGCTCCATCGATCTCTTTTCCTGTGTTCTCCCTTCCCCTCCCACCGACTCCTCTCTTAAGCCCGCTTCCCTGTGTTCCTCTCAGTCCCTCGCATCCCCTCCTCATTTTATTTAAAAATTTCTCCTTGCCCTTATTCCCTCCCTCTGGAGTGTTTGGGGAGTAGTGCTGCTTCTCAAGAGCTTAGGAAATCACATGAAACATTGTTTCTCATAAAATTGAAAAGAGGGTTTCCATTCCTGAAGCGGTGACGGTGTGGACTTGAAAACGGAATAATTACAGTCAGAGGACATTTAGTTATGGGACAAGATGCTCAGGGAGTGATGCTAAGTCATAGCAAAAAAAAACGAATTGATGGGGAATATTGGTGAAAAAAAAATCAATATTATTACGGGGCAATCTTAAGAGAAGTAGCACCAAGAGGCAAAACATGAGGTTCTGATAAAAAGCCCTCAGTGTTCAGCCGAGCCGTGTACTGTGGTCACATTCTGTTTGAAGGAGAATGAGAAAGCAAGCTGCAGGCCAAGCTGTGAAAGTTTAAATGAAAGAAACTATTAAAGTGAGTCAATATCACTTCGAGAGCTGTTTTTTAATAACAATTTCATTTCTCCCATTTTTTATAAACAGTATCTGTTTTTATTATTTTCGTCCTTCAAATTTTCTCTTTATTTTATTTACTTGCAACTCAACTTTTAATTTCTGCTGAGTTAATTTGTAGGTTCATTTCTAAATTTCCACCAGCTATCAAAATCCTCAGCAAAAAGAAAAGTAAGATGTGAAATAACATGTTAGTCTTAAATAGGACAGATGACGCTCCCTTAAGATACTTACTTACTTAGGAAAAAAAAAAAAAAAAACTTTCTAAAGACTGAATCTTGTTTTTATAGAGAAAACATTGCTATCTTGGATAATAATGACAGAAACAGTTACAGATATTCCAAATATTGTTCCTGAGGCTTTATTGATGATCACACATGTTATGGAAATCAACTCTGCTGGAAGGATGACCTAGGATGTGTTTTTCGTTTGTAGGTGTGTATGTTTTTTTCCTGGTTGTTTTGTGGGGGAAATTGCTTCTTAGAAGCCAACACCATCAGTTGTCTTCTTTACTTTTTTGTTTGTCTTACGAGGCATTCATCATTTGGCCAATCGTTTTGTCCACCGACTTCTATCTGGGGACGCCTGTGGATCCATGTCAAACTTGGTCTTCACTTAGTGGTCTTATTGGAAAGTCAAAGATTCACTCTTCTTCTTCTTTTTCTTCTTCTTATAGATATGCTGAAGTTTCTTTGGGCAAGATACTGAACCTCAAATTGCTGCTGGTGGTGTGTGAATGGAATTTAGTAAAACTGACTATTGAGTAATACTGAAGTGAATGAATGGATGTGACTTGTAATGTAAGACTGTTGTAACATTAAGGGTCAATGTAAGGTGATTGGATAACTCTAATGATGACAAACGGCAGGATGGTGATGGATAACTTTCTTAACAACACTTTTACTATTCGGCCATCTTGCCATAACCACAACGTAACATCCTGGACAACCCTGATCACATGTCAAAGCATTTACCAATCAGAGGCTAGGAACTCAAGGTAAATGTGAATGAACCTCAGAAACACATTCTACATATCTTGCTCACCCTCACAAGCAGCTGTAGAGAAACTTGTAAATATGAACATGTCAGTGCTTTGTGAATAGTTCTCTGTATGAATTCTATAAACACAATTTTTAGCTTGACTTAAAGACAGTTAACTGGTATAGTTAACAGAGATATATGAATTGACTTCACTGTTAAAGCTTACAGTGTTTTGAGTGGTCAGAAGACGAGAGAAAGCGACAAAAATACAGTACAAATTCCATACGAAAATACCATCTACTCCTACATTTTGGTTTTGGATCCAATTATTTCATATATCATTTTGACAGACTTGGTGGTGGGCTGAAGGGAAGTTTTATTCTTTCTACCTTTAAGAAACCCACAGATCCAAATGAGGAAACATAACAAGGCATATTTTTTGACAACTTTTCAAAAGAATTGGGATTTCAATATCTTTTCAGGTTTTCCAGGGTTTATATATAATTCAAATTAAATGTGACCACATGCATGATGACTGTTTACCTCTGAGCTGGTTTAATACATAAGAATCCAAATAAACACCTTTCTATGAATTTATTGTGATGAACATTTTGTCAGTATAAAACAATCACACTATTTGTCACCAGCACACTTTGTCAGGTCTGTCTGAGAGCAATCAACATTTTGGATAAAGTCTTACAAACATTACTGATGCTGAATCGACTCCGATTGATTTCTGCAGCAACTCCCATGCTGGAATATTTCCATTCTTTTATCTATTCATTGTGTGTCACATTATTCATGCATCTTTGCAGTGACAGAAGAAATAGTCCTGAGCTTCAGTTCTGATCCAAACATGTTTGTTCCAAAAAGTAAGTAAAGCTTGAGGGTCTTTTTTTTTGTCAAAGCCACACATGCTTTCTTTTTTTTAGTAGTTATTCTATCTGAAAGGGGCATTGCATAACCTCTTAATTTCACTAGATTTGACTAAAAGCAAATTTTTCAACCGTGGTTGCTGTGGTCAAGGACTGTGCAGTCTGGGGCTGTAAAAGCTTTGCAGTCGTACAGAGTTGCAGTAAATTGAAACACTGGACCTTGAAACAAACACTTAAAACAAGTTATTAACTAGTTCAGCAACCTCAGGGGTTAAAATTTGAAAGACAACTTAAATGATTGCTGGGTGAATCAATCAGCCAGCCTCACAAGAGGCAGAAAAAAAGACCTCTTTTTCCTCTGCTTTTAACTGTCATCTTCCAAGTCCGTCAGGACCTACACCAGGACTATCTATAAATCTCCAAGAGACCTACAAGATCTACTGCAGGATCAACCCGCATACTCAACTCCTACAGCCACCATCTTGGAGTTTTTATCTAAAGAAGGACAAGTCATACCTGCAAACAAGCCACCATCTTGGAGCTTTATCTTCATTGGGACAAGTCTCATCCACAAATAATGTAAGGCTTCAAATTATGTTGCATATTATATTCTGTTAAAAAATTTCTAAATTTTGTCCACAGCTCCATAGGGATTGCTGGAGGAGGCAGGATATATGACCTATTCTGCAGCCAGTCACCATAGGGTGCTGTTCTCGAGGTGGCTTGACCCATTAAGGAGGCAGCCACATCCATTCTACATACAGTCTATGGTATTAGACATGTTCAATATTTACAACCAGAAATCATTATGAGTGGGAGGATCCCTGGGAACAGCCAATCATGCACTTTATCTATTGTCATGTGAAACAACCCAATAGCCAAACAGAAGATAAGCTGCACAACAAATGCAACCATGGCAACAATAGGAGATGAAATGCATAAACTGAGAATCAGCTGTTGATATATGACAATCCATCATATATCTATGAAAACTTGAGTGTTTACATGAGTGTTAAGTGAAACACACCTTAACTGAAATGACAAGTGGAGTAGTTAGAAACAAATTAATACTTCAGTGGAGGTCCCAGTAATAGTGAAATACTTTAGTTTACCTTGTTTCCTCCTCTAAAATCACATTTGACCGCAAAAAAACTGAAGGAGATTTCCAGTTTTGAGAGCTGGGTGACTCTCATAACTCTGGTTGCTGATAAAAAAGAGTGATTATGTTTGCAATGAACTGTGTTTATCGTATAGTTGCGCACCACACACTACCAGGACAAAATGATCAAATCCGTCATCATTTTTGGGGTCTCTGACGTTTTAACAATCAGTTCAATTTTAAAAATCTTTTAGTGTGTGCCAGGCTCTAGACTTGCAAAATCAAGTTATGCCCATCTCTATCCAAATTGCATCACTGGCGCCCACAGAGTCAGCTGGTCCATAATGAGTGAAAATGGAGGTGCATAAAAAGTCTAATTAAAATAAACTTTATTTCTTGTGTTCCTGCTGTCTAAGCCCAGAGACATGACAGTATTAAGCTTTTATTTAAACCCTCAAAGAGTGAGTAGAGTTCAATGGACTGTAATTCTCTATGTTTCTTTCCCAACTGTTTTCCAAAACAGCCTTGTTGCTTCCAGCATTAAGACAAACTGGCAGTGATCTCACACAGTCGTTTAGATCAGCTCACAGGAAGTGTAGTGAGCTAGCGTGATGGCTCTGCAATGCCAGGATTTTGTTTTTCTATCCGCCTTTGCATATTTTTCCTCTTTCCAAATCATTTAGGAGCCCAAATAGAGGCAGGAGACGGTGGAGGAGGCAGAGATGTCAGTGACAGCTCTGCGATGGAAAAAGCTCCTGTGGCGTAAACATGCCAGAGAGCCGCTCTGTCAACATGCTGGACGGGCGACAGGAAACTTCTATTCTGAAGAAGATGACTCGTGCTGCCCAGGGGGGCCTCCACAGACGGTGTAGTAGAGACTAGTGAGACTCTCTGAATCAGCAGTGTGACATCACATTGACATCACAGCCTGATGACAGGTCTCATGAAACTGCGCCCCATGAGATCACACAGACATCTAGACTGTCAGCAGGAGCAATGGGACAACTCTCTCAACTTTAAAACACCATCAGAATATGTTTACATTCATTTACCAGCGCTTTCATTTTACTGAAAAACAAAACTGTGATTAGGATTAACTTTTTTTCTGCACACCAGAATATGAAAGAGCTAAAACTCCATATTTAGTAACACAAACAGATTAACCAGTGAAATAACAAACAGGATGCTACCAGATGGAAGGTTTTTATAGGTAAGATTTAAGTGTGAAAACAAAGAAATGTTGTGCTCAGAGCAAAAAACAAAGATGTAACTAATACTTGTAAAGGCTTGTTTTCCATATATTTACGATGAGAATACCTCTCATGAAAGCTGAACTCACAAACAATGGTTAATGATGAAAAGAAACATTAAACATTCACTTTAATTCACAAGCACAGTACCGGCTTATTTTGGACCAGGTCCTGTTGGCTTTGAAACATTAATGAACTGATGTAAGACACAACCAAAGGTGCGCTATATGAACTGTCAATCACTTAATCAACACTGACTCATCTTTTTGTTTCATTTAGCCACATTTCCTGATTATTCTAAATATGTATGATGTTAAAATATTCTGTATCATAATGGCCTGACTGATTTTATTTTTTTCTGCCAGATTTTACTCACATTTGCTGCAAGTAAATTTTGAAGCATGTTTTTTTTTTGTTTTTTTGTTTTTTTTTTTGTATTATACAATAATCCAACTTGTGTAGTAGATCAGACAGAAGCCCATGTATTGATTGGTGGTGAAAGTGTGTCACTTCTTACCTCTAATGTATGGTTGTGGCAAATTGTCTTATGGGTTTAGCATGAATACCACAAATTTAAACACTTTTAATCAGTGGCTCTGTCAATATTAAGTAAGTTTATTGATTTAAAATGACTGAATAGATGTTTTTCTTTAAACACAAGATCATAAATGAAAGTCAGGAACAGGTTTTTTTATATATCCAGTTAAATACAAGGTGATCAAATACATGTTTGTAAAAGCAGCAGTTTAAAGTCAACAAAGACTTTTTCTGCAGAGAACCATGAGCATGGTATTTTTACCTTGCAGGGAAATGGTTAATGTTCTTGGTACCAAGAGCACCAAGTAACACAAACAACCAAAACAATGAAAAAAAAGGGGTTCATAAAAATGATGCTGTATGTTTTACACAGAATAATTGATTTAATGCAATGAATTATAACAGCTGAATCAGTCATGATGGATACAGACAAAAGGCAAACCCAACAACCTGCATGTCAACTCTGAAAAGGTGTTTGGACAATTTTAATGAACATTTGGTAGAATTTCTCATCAGTTAGATTGATCAAATGAGCGATCTGCTGTGTCTCCAAGTGCTACACTCCATGCACCCTATTCAAGTCAAAAACCAAAAACAGAGCAACATCTGCATCATCCATCGAGTTTGAAAAGTAAAAAAGGTAAAAAGTTCAATTTTGTTAAAAGTGTAAATTCTTGCCTCTCTTTGAAGCTGTGAGTTGATAATTTCACCTCTTCAAGAAAGTGTTTTGTTCTTTTTTTTTTCTTTTCTCAGCCTTGAACTTTAATTACACCTCAGAACCACGGTGAGCCTGTTTGTGCGTAATGCAGAGATAAAGACTAATCCATTCAGAACCTTTCACTCACAGTATGTCATTTCTGACTCACTCATAACAATAACAAAAGACCAACTTTGATGACCTGATACATTACTTCAGGATCAGGGGAGTCCTTGTCTTCGTTAAATTATTTATCAGTATTTACTCTGGCTTTACTTCTACTCATATCCACTAAACCTCTTATTATTCACTCAAACATTTTTTGCTACGATGAGAAAGCTTTGGTGACAGAAAACAGCAGTGACTAAAAGTGAGTGAGGCAAATACACATCAGTAAAAAGTTAATTAAGTTCCTTCCTACCTTCCTCTCTGGCATCAGTCTAGGAGTGCGCTATGGGGTGATTCGGATCTGGTATCAACAAGCAACCTGCCCACAAGTGGACAGCTTATCTTGCACACCTTAACGTGTCTTCAGTGACCACTTGAGATCAGATCTCACCCTCCCACTTTGTATACAAATCAACACAGAGCCCAATTTCCCTTCATTAGCCTTTAAAACCTCCTATTAAAAGAAATCAGTGATTCAGTCTCATAGCATATAGAGAAGGGTAGCTGTGCTCATGTGGAGTAGGAGAGGCAGTGGTGACGCAGTATAATGTTGCGTTCCAGTTGTATTCCCAAATTGGGTTTTCCGAGCACTGAGTCGGAAATTCATCTGGAACACCCCCTTGAAGTAGGATTTCCGACTCAGAAAGTCGGACGATCCTCACCAACCCTGACTTGACAACAACGTCATAATCCAAGATGGCAGTGCAGCGCATCAACAGTAAAGAGTAACAGTGAAATTTCTCGTAATGTATTATGTATTCACACTTCTGTTTTGTTTTTGTGAAATTAAATAAGTGGTATATGTTCTACTGTCCTACGTCTAACTGTGAACGTTGTGCTATGGTGGTATACCTAACAACAACTAACAACAGCTGACAACCGCTAACAACAACTGACAACGATAAACTACAGCTAACAACGGCATACCGTCCTGGTTTTCCGATTTGTTCACTAGAACGCTGTCAACTTAAGTGTAACGTCATTCCAAGCACCAACATCCGACTTCTGAGGTAACTGGAACACAGTAGAACACCTGTTCGATCATTAGGCCTGATGCTCCCCTCTAGCTCTGTGGATGATTAGCTGAATATAACAACTACACTGCAGTCAAGAGTCTCTATTGCAAAAATGACAGACAATGTTATTTGCACAGTATATGAAAAATCCTCTGAATCCTAACCTCACTGCATTATTCTGCTCTGGGGGACAGAGCACACAGACCAAAAGTATGACACACAGCAGAGGAGCTCAGCTGGTGGTGGTCTCTCCAAGGTTTTTATGGGCAGAGGCAATACATAGCAGCAGCCACATAAAAGAGAAAAAAGTTGAGAACTTTTTTTACAGCACATGGAGAATGATGCAGACTGAAAAGCTTTCATGCCAGTATATATACACATACCAGCAACACTAATGCCTAATTAGTGTGTCTTTCAATAAAAACAAATAGGCAGAAAAAAGTGCATTAATGTCCATTTTTGTTGTTGTTGTTGCAGTTATTCACTGTACATTGCTATATATGTCCGTAAGGATTGTTTTTATGAGTCTGCTTTGCATGTTGATATTAAGAGTGTTAAAAAAGGGGTCACAATCATAGACTGTACATGCTATGGACAACTTGGTTCCACCGTCCGCCAGACTTCGTACGCCCATAGGCTGTATCAAGTGTCAATCATAGAAAACATGAACTCCCTAATAACTTTTGAGAAATGGAGCTGTAACTGTACAAACCAGTCTGACAATAACTATATATCAACATTGCAACCAGAGGGGAGAAAAATTTATATTTTGTTTAATTCACATTTGCTGGAGGAGGCGGGATTTATGACCTATACTGCACCCTGAAACTAGAGGGTGCTATTTTCAGGATGGCTTCACCCAGTGAAGAGGCAGATAGCGTCCATTCTATATATGGTCTATGGTTACAATTCACGTTCTGTAGCCTTGCAGTACTGCATGTTATATTCGTTATAATACTGAAAAAAATAATTGATTCAGGCAGAAAATGCATGTGATACTGTCTTTCTCAAAGGAAAAATCAAGGTGTTTTTGCTGACAAAGTTGAAGCTTAAAATGTTAAACTTATAACAGCAGAAGTTTAGGATGCTATTTCACTGAGGATACTGAGCCATGAAAACATCTGGTTTGAATAGAAGAAAGGTATCATTGGCACAAAAACAGAATTGGGGGACACAATCTCTTTTTTTTTTTTTACGTTTTCCAACAATGTGGAAAGAACAATGATACAGAGGTTTTTGGACGTCCTACTGCTTATTGTTGTTCTACTGATGCACCCATCCAAACCTAAAACACGTCTCAGTTTTCCAGTGTATATATAAATATAAATATATATATATATATATATATATATATATATATATATATATATATATATATTTTTTTTTTTTTTTTTTTTTTCCCAAGGAAAATCCAGACTGTTTTGGTTGTTGCTCAATAAATTCTGGGATGACTTGAAATACAGTGTCTTCAAATCAGTGGTCCTCACTGCATAACTCCACACATGAATATCCTCAAGGTCAGTGGCAAAGAAGTGGTTCTGTGAAGTATTATATTACAGTAGTGCAAATTTATTTAGAGACATTAATTCATACACCTGTCATACAGGAGATGATCATTAAGATTTTTTTTTCATCTTTTTGATTCTGTCTGCACATACTGATGCTGTGCACAGTGGGTTTAGAAAAATAAACTTTTAATTAAGTCTGATCCTTTGTATATCCTGTCTTTTTATGTGTCTGCTGCAAATACCTTCTACACTTCTGCCAATTGCAATAAAAGTGCTTCACTGCAAAAGGCATTACAGAAAACTGTAGAAAATAAGAAACATTTGAGTGCAATAGAAATGTTTTTTTCTGTCCCCCAAGGTACAGCAGTTAGCTCCAGCAGACAGCACATTTAACATTACGGTTCATAAGACTGCACACAAAGGTCTTAGAAATGATGGAGCGTCAAGCAATCAATATTTTAAAGCAATAAACATTTTCACTTTTCAGAAAGCTCCTCCATAAAAGTTCAGCAGCCGTAAATCTTCCACTCAAGCTGCCTTGGGGATCAACTGTCAGAGCGGGCTCTTTCCTGCAGTTTTCTATATTGATGGTTGTCAACAGGTGAAATTGCATTTTGAGAATTATTATGGTTACACAACACAGAAGGAAGGAGGAGACTTTTACAGTGTTGCAAGTGATGATTATCTTGACACAGAGCTTTGAATAAAGCCAAATCTTGGTGAAGAAACATTCACTCTTGTTGGCCTGAGCCCTAGCAAACAAACGTCAGTCATTTCATCATATACGGACAGTACTTCAGACCACACTTCACGAGTTTTAAATATGTGATGATAAGCTTAAAATCGC